CGAAGATCGTGACTGGCTGAGGGACAGACTCGGGGGCAGGTTCTCAGGAATTTCTTGGCTTCTCTCCCCCGAGCCAGAAGAGGAACACTACAGCTTGGAAAAACTGGGAGAAGAAGACGGCCCAAATAACCCGGCGGAATAATAAAGAATTAGTAGTTGGAAAGTAGTTGGAATGCTGTATCAGCTGCCATGATGTTACATTGAATACCACAGTTTAATGCTACAAGTCGTACTGTGCACTTAAATGTAATGTTATATTTAATCAACACTTATTTAAACTATGACCTATTGTAAAAACTAAATATTGTTGTATCACACAGTAAACTGCATTTTATTACCACTGCTATCATTGTACAACAGCATTAATGGCATAAAATGCCATCTAGAATAGCATAGACCTTGTTCTTTTAATACATAAAGAAAAAGGACAAGCAAAGACATAAGTGAGAATTGCTTCATGTTTATTTTAAATGTACATTTGCGTTGGAAAGAAATGACATTAACATAAATAATTATTACAGAAAGTTATTTTTTGCAACAAAGCTATAGTAAAACATTATGTCAGAAAGGTATTCATCAATTGATTCTCCTTTGCTAAAAAAAAGCAGCCATCGAAATTAACAACATTGCTTTAAGTCTAATGACAAAGCCAAAAAACAACAGCACCTGTGTGGCATAAAACGAACAGAAATAGACAAATAAAGTATTGGAATGACAATTAAAAGTCAGCTAAAAATCATGGTTCCAGCGGCCCTTCTCGGGTACCGGTCAAATTATATAAATACATAAATACAACGAAAAAAGCTTGAGGGGTCACCGCCGCCATGAGAGACAGTACATGTTCATTTAATCAGTCGTCTATTAAATTGCCTGCTGATGTAAAACATTTTCACTTCCTGATAGTGAGGTCAAGGAACTCCTTCCTGGTGGTGGGATTATCCTGAAATGTTCCCAACATGACACTTGTAACAGTGCTGGCGTTTATCTTCTGCACACCTCTCATCACCATGCACATGTGGCTGAAATGCAAAAAGAAGAAAGTTGAAATGACTGATGATTTGCACAGAATCCATTAGATATGATAAATACATCTAATGATGCAAAACTATCATCATAGTTTCATGATCTTATATATTGTTATATACTTTAAAGTACATCCAGATGAGATTAAGATCTGATAAGAAACTAATAGGGATGAAACAAAAGGTAAATACTCACGCAGCCTCAATCACCACTGCTACTCCAGCCGGCTCCAGCGCCTCAGAGATGGCTGAAGCAATCTGTTTGGTGAGACGCTCCTGAACTGTGGAGAAAATGAACACTGTCACACACAAACCAAACCAGAAAAAAATAACCGTTGAATAAGATAACAAATACATGTTTGTGCATAAAGTATAATAGCAGTTATTTTTACCTTGAAGCCTCCTGCTGTATATTTCAACAATTCTGAAGAAAAAAAAATAGAATTGAATGGATGGTGGTGTGTGTGTGTGTGTGTGTGTGTGTGTGTGTGTGNTCTGACGTCGCCATTTTGTGTGCTTCGCGGATGCGCTCGGCTCCTCTCGACTGCTGCTCGGGTCTGCTCGGTCAGCTTCCGGATGAGGAGGCATTCGTTCGACCAACTTACAGTAGATAACATTACAAACATTTTTAACAGGGGCCATAATAGTGTAAATAATGTTTGTTTTGGCAGTTATAACTGAATGTAATGTTTTCTACTTTTTTACATCTGGGAAGGCATTTGCCTTCATCAGATGGAAAGTGGCTTGACCAACAACTGAAGTATTTCTTATAGCTATGCAGGGCATGCAAGAGAGCAAACACAAACAAGAACAAACAAACAAGTGAAATTAAGGATAAAATTGAAATTGTACAATATAATATTGTGGTGGTTCATCTTATAATTCAGTCTAGAGAATGCACCAGACAGCATCTAAGACCTGCAAAAATCTAAATTTTCTAGGGGGAGGCCCCCCAAACCCTTCGTGCGTCATTTAGTCCGCGCGCGTTTTAAACGCGCGCGGACTAAATGACGCACGAAGGGTTTGGGGGGCCTCCCCCTAGAAAATTTAGATTTTTGCAGGTCTTAGATGCTGTCTGGTGCATTCTCT